TCATTTTTGTGACACTGGAACTCAGCAGTTTAAGCTCCAAGATGGCCAGTTTATCATTGGGAGAAGGTCCTTCAAATTCCCATCTTTCAGTTCTTTGACTCAAACATGGTCTTGCACTAGACTTTAGGCAGTTCTTACAGGCTTTTATTTCACACACACAACAACCCCCGAAAGAGTCAGGCAGTGGAGCAGTAAGGACCAGCTGGAGACCAATTCTGGCACTCTTTTATTGGTCATTCTTTTATTGGCCTGCAGCCAAGCCTTCAAGGAGCATCTAAGGTGTTTTCCTCTCTCCCTCCTGGGTCATCCAATAAAAAAAAAAGATCTCTAGTTATGGTCAGATAAAAGCAACTTCATTCCTTTAATGAGAAAAACAGTAACCATGCATATATATAGACAGTATTAGGCAGGTACAAGAATAATTTTCAGTCAGTAAACTATTTAAATCAGTGGGATGGAAACTTTCTCAGAACACTCTCTTTAAACATACAGTACATTTCAAGAGGACAGTAATACTTTGCCTACAGCAAAAATGTCTGTAAATCTCATATACGTTCCTACTTTTGTTCACTAATTTTCTTCTCAGCCTGGATATCCTCCTTCTGAATTCGATCTGTTTCTTCTCAGTTCTCTAAACCTTCCCCTCCTGATCCACAGGATCACTCCCTCTCTGATGAAACTGCCAGTACAACTTCTAGATCTAAGCAAACTGCCTCTCTCCCCCTCCTCTTGTGCTTTTTTCCTTTATCTCTGACTGGCTCAAAATCGTCCTTACTCCCTTTCTCTTTGTTTGGCTTCCAAGTTAACTTCTTATTCTTTCCAACCATACCTCCAAGCTAAGCCTTTTCTTCTCCCTCCCCCCCCTGTGTGTGTGTGTGTGTGTGTGTGTGTGTGTGTATGTGTTTGTGACTGTCTCTCTGTCTATGGACTCCTGTCTATGCCTGAGACTACACTCATAGTTTCAAAGTCTTTTCAACATAAAGGAATATATATAGCTCAGGGCAGAACTGTGGGATCCTTGGTGCTATTGAGTGTGGGATTTGCTCCCTGTTTACATACACTAGCTTATCCTGCCACTTAGTGTGTGTGTGTGTGTGTGTGTGTGTGTGTGTGTGTGTATTTTCTCCTTGATAGTTCTTTAATTAGGGTACTGTTTTCTGCTTGATTATTTGTCTGTTGTTAATCTCTACTTATCTAGGTGTTGGTTGTTGAAGAGAATGTGTTCTGATCTTTTGTTCCCTTCTTAGCTTTTTTATTGTCTCTTTTGAATGGTGTGTAAATGTGGTTTATCTCTAAGTTCTATTGATGGCTGATTTATCTGAATGCCAAGCTTTTATATCAGTCTTTTATACCTTACATAAAAAAGACTTATCAAAGCCTTTTATATCTCCCTAATTGAAAAGTTTCATTCCCTACAGGTGTCCAGTTCTGACTTCTTTATTGATTTTGCTCCCTCTGACAAGTAGATGCCCCTCTTTCTCACTATGTAGCTTAGCATCCTCAAAGACCCCATTCCACTTACAGGCTGTGGAATCAGATCCCTCATGTTAACTTTCTTACTTCTCCTGGCAAAATTCTGCCAGTTTGCACCATAATTTGGCTTCTTTATTTATTTCTCTACTTTGCTGCAACCAGCTGGACTATATTGGCATTAAAACAGCTTTTAAAAATTAAGATGAGAGCCTTGCAAAGAAGATTGGGTGATTTTGCTAAACTAAGAACCTCACTATCTTTTCAATACCAATGTTACACTACCCTATATTTTTCTTTCTTATTGCAATACAATTATATGTAAGATTTTTAAATATACTAATATAAAAATTATATCCCTGTGAAATTACTGTACTTAAGAAACTGACTAATTTGAAATGCAAAGAGACTCTAAAGGTGTAATAGTGTTGGTGAGAGCTGGTTTCTATAAAGGAAAGTCAATTTTTGAATTTCCTTCAGTCTCAATAATTGTCCCAACTCTTTGTGATTTTAGTTTTGAGTGTCCCCCAATTACCTTGTCTCTTGCTGGCTTGTGATAATATATGGAAAGCCAGAGATTCACAAAGAATCTAAATCCTAGGATTTAAGAGTTTGAACAATATTCAACTAGTAAATCTTGTAAATTAACCTGTGTGCCTCCATCTGCCCAAGATGCAACTTGACCTTCATCCAGCCAATTACTTTTTAATGTAAGTGAAGGTGAAAATCATCTGAGACTGATATTAAATTTTATTCCAGACTGTTAAAATCAGAAAAACTAATTTATTCTCAAATAAAGCCATTTATAGTACGTAGAAATATACATGTAATTAAATGTTAAATATGCCACAATACTCAAAAGTTTTGGGTGGAGAGATAAACTGAAACAGACAGATAAAGGTAATTCTCTCCTTTGTTGAACTCAATTTGGTGAATAGATGTCCATGTTCACGTGATTTACATGGCAATAAGGTAGAGAAGATTTAGTCACTGTCCTCTTCTGGGATTCTTTTGTTTCTTTGTTTTACTTCCCAGTTTACTGGACAAGCTGGGATTTCTGAGCTGTCCCTCCCCACCCCCACCCCCACCTCCAATTATTAACTAGGGCCAACCTAGTTTTTATTTGATTATACTGTGGCTTACATTCCACCTTCCTGAAATGTTATTCAATGAAAACTACTATAGAAAATTAATTATATTATTTATTTCTACTTTTGTATTGCTGTCCACAAATGGGTTATATTCACTCATTGAAGATGCTCTTGTTAGTAAATTGGCATAGAAATAGGAGAAACAGAAAAAAATAGGATCCCCCCCAATTGAAACTAACATCTGCAAGAATGACAAATTAAGAGAAATAAGTCTGATACATTTTCACATTCCTAAATGAGACTGATCACTAAAAAAATACATAGGTATTTTCCTGGACATTGTTCAGAAATGGTGTAGGGTCTCCTGCTTGGGCTGGGGGTTGGACTAGATGACCTACAAGGTCCCTTCCAACTCTTGTTATTCTATTATTTAATCTCATCATATTCTTCCCCTTATAGCATTCCATGATTCAAGCGGGAATGTGCAATTATTTTCTTATAGTGAAAATCTGTTTCCTTATGTGTTCACTCACTAAGCTTCAAATGAGAAAGTTAAAAGTGAGCATTGTTAATGTTACCTAGTTTGGTAATGAAATGTTCTCAAGAAAACAACCAAGCTCAAAGAGCACTAAGGACTCCACCGTTCAACTCTGAGCTACAAATACCCTCTTCTATGGGAAAGAACAGCTCAAATTTTCTTTCCCTTACAGGAAACCCCAGTCTCTAAATGGGTCTAGCACACAAACTCTATCATATGATGAAAAAGTGGATAAAAAAGGATGTCATTTGTGTAGTAATAACCAGCAGAAAACATTAACAGGCTTTAAAACAAGCCATTGCACATCAGTGCATTTTTATGTCACTTGTCATGGTGTAAATCAATTAAATTGTTTCTGAAAAATAAACAGTTCATTAGTAGATTGTCAATTAAAAATCCTTGGGAGATATGGTGTCACATCAGCATGGAAAAATTATCATCTTTGAGAAGTTTTTGCTACTGGAAGATACAATATAGTAAATAATGTGATATGCAGTTGGTCTTGATCGATTCTTTCTTACCATTCCATTTGTTTCTCCAAGACTAGTGAACTGGACTTTGTTTTTGTCGTAGTGGTTGAATCCAAATGTTCTTCTGGGTGGGCTTCTGGTTAGAGATGATGCGGGCAGAAATGAATAGCAGAATACAAACAGATGCGCCTCTCCAGAGGATGTTCTTTAATTGCTTCCACGACTACAAATCTGAAGTTGGCATTTACAGCAAATGTTCACTTGCATCTTTAAAGCTGGCACTAATTGAAGACTGATGTGGGCAAAGTTGTTACTTCTGTTTTCTATCCATTTTACATTTTCCTATTTTTAAGTTCATTTCATCTTCTTTCCATTTAAGTTTGAGAGATTGTTTTTTTAAAATATTATCTTATATATTTTGCACCCAGTTTTGTGCTCATAATGCTGCTAATGCCAAAGGATGAAAAGGTGTTGTGACTTGGAGAGACTATAAATTTAGATGTTAACCATTGGTCTATAATGTCAACAAGAACCTTATCGTAATCCTTGGCTACAAGAGTAAATGATTGCAAAGGCGTATTAATAATGACTTACTACAATGTTATTAAATGAATAATTTTTTTCAAGTGCTACTTAAAGTCTATTTAAACAGGAACAAAAGGTGATTATTTCCTACTTTGGGTTTAATTTTTAATGATGTACAAATATATACATGTCATGAAATGTGGATTCTAAACAAGCTGGTTTTTTTTTCATTCGATTACGGTCATTTAATACAATCTAAACTCTGTAAGAACTTAAGACACACTTGTTTGGCATTGCCGTATCTTTTACTGGTCTCGAAGAAAGGATATTAGACCATAAATAGCTTTTGCTCTTCTATTGATTTTTTTGAGTAGGTTCTCTGATATAAACTACTTTCTTAATTTAAGTGTTTAATGGCAGAGCTGAAATGTCTGGCTAGGCCCACACATGAAATACTTGCTTCATTGTTCAAAGACAAAGACTAGTCTAACCATGATTATAGAGTGATTTAATTAAAGAAGCAAATAAATCTTTAGCCTTTCTCTGACATTGCCTACCTTGCTCTGTCTCTTCAACTGATCTAATAGAAAAGCAGCATTAAACTGTCTAGAGCAAAGAGTAATGGATTGCAACTTTCCTTTTGAAGAGAGTACATACAAACATTCTACTCCAAGCATTAAATGGATCCCCAGAACATACTCATTCTACTATCACTTACTGGGGCTACATGTATTTATAGGTTTGGATGGATTCCTGCCTGGTTTCACATGTGTTCCACATTATTAAATGTATAATTTTAGTAATGGAATTGGTGTTGAATTGTGGAACTAGAAATGCCTGTTTTTCCACTTAATGGACATGTTTTGGTATAAAATATCAGAACGTATATTCAAAAATCCCCATACCAAAATTTGTCTAGTACTTTATTGCACATTTTAAAAACATGATCAAAAAGGATAAATGAAATAAAGTTTCACCAGGAAAAAATTAAGGCCATTTTTACAACAGTATTCTAAGGCCAAAAATTCTGAATTAATCAAAAAATACAATTCGGGGGGGGGGGGGAAGAAAGATAGAGAAAGAGAGTCTGTTTTTGGATCCTGTAAATAGAGTGACAGACGTGCCTTCGCATGCAAAGGGATTACTGTATGGAAGTTTCTCAAGAAAAGAAATTGAGGTTTCAGCCAGAGGTCCCTGGGAGGGTACTATGAATGCTAGTCCACAAGTGTCTGTAAGAAGCCAGAGTGGCGTCATAGTTTTATAAACTTATTTCCCTTTCACTCTCCAAACTTCCACTAAGGCTAAGCCTGTTAGCGGATTCTATCTCAGTCAGATGAAGTAAGGAATGCGTTTGTTGGCATTGGATTAAATTACAGGTAACCTATCTGATGCTAAAGGGCATCATTGTGTCCAAAGAGTGAGTGCTGGTTGGTGTATACCATTATTCCTGTCATTCATGACTTTTACTATTTAAAAGATTCCCTTAATTCGAAATAAATAAATGGGGAATATGTTATAGAGTAATTACCAGCATCATCTTTATTCTCAACAAAGCCTGTATGGGATTCCTTAAGCATAATAAAGGTGGGATATAAATAAGTAAATAAATAAAATAAAAATAAATTTCCAGAATGTAGGAAGATTAGGTGGCTGCATCCCAGGGTTTGGCTTAGAAGGATGCATTCTTGCCAAACAAACAGGCAAGCAGCAGCAAAAGGAGAGCTGCTAGGGAGATCCTTGGGAGTTAAAAGGGTGGGGCAGCTTTTCTCCAAAGTTCTTTCCAGTGCATTGATATTTTGGGACTGATTACACCTTCTATGGCTGCCATTTTGCAAGAGTGCCACCAACTAAAAAAGCTTTAGTAGACAATATTTATACTATAAATTTTCACCAGAGAGAAGAGCTGATCAGTTGCTGAATTTTCCTCATATCTTTAAAGTCTGCTGGCAGCATCTGGGGAAATGGTTGCTCTTTGCTGGTACTATATTTGAGCTATGATGTATCATCAAACAGCAAAATTTCTGTGTTAGCCATCTTACAACATGCTGCGCAATGCCTCAACTGTGGAAAGGCTGTGTAATCCCACCATAGCCATCTCCACAAATTAAACACAAAATGGTGTGCTTAAGCTCAAGAAGAAACCACTACTCCCACCCTCCCAAAACAACCCTTTCAGACAGTTATCTGGGGCTCTGAACTTCTATTCCATCTTTCTCTAGGATCTAGTCCTGTTTATCAAGGTGACAAGGTGGCATGCAACAATATCAAATCTAATATGGAAATAAATCCAATACGTATACTAACTGTATTTACATCCCCACTTGTGTTTACAAATGCTAAATTGACAGACTTACCAAATGCACTTCACTTATGATTAAGCTGTTTACATGCACTGATATAAAAGAAAAAAATGACAATATTGTTGAGAAAACATATACTATTAGAAGAGAAAGGAATGCCATACATCAGTACCAAGGGAAATGTGGGAACAGAAGAGATGAAATCTACTTCAGCTGAAGTTATTCTCTCCCATCACATCCAAAAGGTAATTTTGGCCTGCAGTACAGAGAAACAAATATGAAGTAATCAACCTTAGGAGATGAAAATTATTCATTTTAAAATTGCCATGTGCTTAAAAGTAGACACAAAAAAATGATCGCATTGAAAAATATATAGATACAAATACAGGTATCATTAAGAGAATTTTAAAAGTCTTTAAACTGAAGATGATAATCAGTTTGGTGTAGTGATTTAAGGCAGGGGTCCCCAACCCCTGATCTATGGTATGGTGCTTGGCTGCAGCCCCTTGGGAACCGGGCCATGCAAGTGGTGGGCAAATGCACAAGCGCATGAAGCTGCATTTGTGCAAGCGGCATGCTCAAAGCCATCCCCTCTGCCCTCCCCCCGCTGCCACTGTTGCCACCACCAATCCAAAGAGCTGGAAAGGTTGGGGACTGCTGATTTAAGACGCCTCATTACAAACCCGAAAACCATGAGTTCTAGCTGGGTGACTTTGAGCCAGTCACATTACCTTAGCCCTAGGAAGTAGGCAATAGCAAACCATTTCTGAAAATCTTAAGAAACTACCCAGACTTGTCCAAGTCGTTGCCAGGAACCAAGAATGACTAAAAAGCACCAAAACAACAGCAAAATGCTAAACTTGCTTTTGTACTATTAACTTACATTCTACCTTTATGAAATTAATACATTTCACAAATAAATGGGAAGTGGTAATTTAGTGAGATGGCAGCATTGCCTTTAATGATAGCTCTCTTTGCTATTCTGTTACTAGAAATCCCAACTAATTTTGGTTTTTTGGTTTTTTTTGTTCTAGGCCACTCAGACTCATGTTCTGTGAGATAGGCAGCTATATGAATTATATATATATATATATTATTGAATATATATCGAATAGTGCCAAGAGATCAAGAAGAGCAAGGATATATATATGTGTGTACACACATATATCTATGTGTGTGTGTGTGTGTGTGTGTGTGTGTGTGTGTGTGTGTGTATGTGTGTGGGTGTGGGTGTGGGTATGGGTGTATACACACACATATACATACTGTATATACAGATATACATATATTTGGCACTATTCGATATCTTTTGGGCTAACTTAGGGAGTTGGCGGTGGGTGGCACAGTTCTCTGCCAGTTCAACTCCTTCTTCCCAGGCTGGTCTCAATCAGTGAGTGATTGGTCTAGCTCATAGCACTTGCTTTGTTGAGTGCTAAAGGGTGCAGTGCTTTCTCCACTCCTTTTTAACATCTACATGAAATCGCTGTGTGAGATTATCTGTCACCATGATATGACGTATCCCCAGTATATGAAGTATACCCAGTTATATATCTCCATTGTAGGTGAAGTGAGTGATGCCATGGACATTCTTTTTCAGTGCCTAGAGACTGCGGGCTCCTGGATGGGCAGCAATCAACTTCAGCTGAACCTGGTAAGAAGGGTGGCTGTGAGTGGGCCCCTCAACTTGATCTTGGATGGGTTGCACTACCCAAGACAAACCTAGTGTGTAATCTGGGGTTCCTTTTGGATTCATGGTTTCTGCTTCAAGAGTATATAGTGGCCATAACTAGGAAGCCTTTGCTCAACTTCATACTGTGCACCAGTTATGCCTTTTCTTGGATAGGGAGGCTTTTATTTATTGCACAAATATTTGGAGGGGTGTGGGTGTGTGGATGGCAGGCGGTGGGGGCCATCTTTCACATCATGGATGCTATAATAGAGAAAAATGTTTCTAACCACAATTAAATTTGTGTCACTAATTATGATAGGCAGGAAAGAATTTAAGGCTTGAGTAGACCTACAGAAAAGCAAATAATTATCAGATATCTTCTTTCTGGGCTGAACACCATAAATGGACATAAATCAATTAACTTGATAATTAATTGGCAACCAGAGCAGATTTTTCAACTCAAAACTAACCCAAGCCATTTTGACCCCTAAAGCAGAATGTCCACCATGAAAAAAATTAAATCCAGTTAGAAGCCACAAGCAAAGACTTTAAATAGTGGTAACTTAAACTATGGTAAATTGCAAAGAAGAAAGGGAAACACGAAGACACGTCCATGGATCTTTATTTAAATTAGAGTCTAGTTTGTTGTAAATCCCCAGCTCATTTGCCACATTTTTCTGCGCTGGTTTATATAATTTCTGACCTCTTAAGGATAGAATACAAATTCCTATTCTAGATGCCTCCATTATCAGATGTGGAGTGAAACTTCAAATATTTTCATCTTATGTATGGTAAAGGTCTGATTATAAAGTAAGATATTTATCTCAATACAATGTCTTTAATAACATTTTATTTTTTAACTCTTCTAACTTTGGGATTTGTGGTTTGAGTGGATATTCAATTGAGAGGGTCTTTGATATACCTAAATAATTCCATAATATCCCAGACACAGTCTATTTAAGTTAATTATTAATACTATACACAGTATAGTTATTAAACACTATTAAATGGTGTTACTTACCATTTCTAATCTCCCTTTTTCCTCATTTGCTCCTCAAAGAAATCATTGCACGCAACAGTCAAAGCAGCAACCAGAACCACAAATTCATTAAAATCCACTTCATTATCTCTGTTAATATCAAGATCATGCATGATCTTATCAACCAGCTGGGGATCCTTTTGACACTATGAAAGCAAAAAAAAAAAAAAAAAGCATACAAAATTGTTCGAGGCCTGGGATTTGCATTAGAGATTTCTTTTTAGTTCCTTGAGGCTATGTACTATATATGCTTTTCTCTAGAAGCCGTAGGGAATTTTTATATGAACAGTGACATTTGCCATTGTCACAACAGCGTCTGCAGCCTGTGTTTGTCTCAGTAGATGTCCCCAGTTTTAATATGCATACATGTTATTTTTAATCTTTCCAACACTTTATTATCAAGAGATGAGGAAAGCCCCCCAATCTTTTGGCCTTCTGCAAAGGGGCCAAAACTTGGCTGTGTAGTCTTGCGTGGAGGACACAGGGACGCACACACTATGGGGTGGGCTGACTGGCCCCATCAGAAACCTTTCCCCCACCATACTAACAACTTCTAATTCACCATTTTGGAATTCTTCATCTTTTGAAATGTTTATAATGTTGTATAATTTTAATTTTTTTAATGCTAAATTATTCTGATTTTAATATTTAATTTTACTGATTATATTGTACATCGCCCACTCTATTAAGGAATATAATAAACAAACAAATAAACAACATAAATAAATAAATAAATAAACAAACAAACAAATAAAATGTTTCTCCTACTTCTATCATTTAGTTAAATGAATTAAACCTCTAGAATGATGCAGCCCTGTACATTTTGTGTCATCAGCCTTTTCACTGCAGCCGCTCTTTCTTCTCTAAAACTTTAACTGGGGTTCTGGTGTCTAAAATGTTGCCCGCCCTGTGTTAAAGTCATAACATGCAGGATTGTGATTTTGTTTTTAGCACATAATGTGAAGGGGCAATTCTGATCAATGCCACTGAGCGCAGGTAGGAAGGATAAAATTCCCACTACCCCTCACCTCTTGATTCATGAAATCCCCACAGGTATACACATAGGATCCAGGTTTAAAAACAAATGTTATTAAAATAAATGATTTTGTTGATTTCCCCCACTCTTTTTAAACAACCTCTCTTCTCTGGGAGAGCATTGTGCAAAAAAAAAATGTCTAGAGAAGAAGGTTGATCTTCCCAAGCTGGTCATATTGGTCATAATTAGACCCTGTATATTTAAACGCTTTAAAAGATATCAAAGAGCAGTTGCTCACTAGGGTATGACTTAACTTTATAATCTAGTTAAGATCAAAGAAAGGAAAATTGAAGCTCACAGCGCAGGTGGGCTTGTCCTGAACCTAAATATAGCATACAGTTTATTACTTTTGCCTGTAAAAGCCAATTTAAAGTCTGAGAAATCACCCACTCAGGAAATATCTTAGTAAGTTGTTACATAGGACAAAAAAAAAATCCAATCCAAGAAAAGTGATGATTGATTTTTTTTTATTCTTCTTTCTGCTTTTATAGGGCTGCAAATTTTTAAGATGACATTTTTTTCTTAGAATAAATAGGCTACAGGTGCCTGTTGTAGATGACATTTGTCTCCTTCTTCATCTCTGTAGAACAATGTTAGTAAAATACTACTTAGGAACAAATAGAGCAGCAAAAACCATATTCTCCCCAGAAATGTATTCTGTAATGCAGTGGCCCTTAACCTTTCCAGCTCAGCGGATTGGCCGTGGCAGGGGGTGGAGGCAGTGGTGGTGGGGAGAGAGGGCATGGTTTCACATACAGGCATGCATCACTTTCACATGCACTCGCCCACCACTTCTGTGGTCTGGTTCCTAATGGGCTGCTACACAGCACTGGACCGTAGACTGGGTGTTGGGGACCCCTGCTGTAGTCGGAGCTTTTCTTGGCAGTCGCTTTGTTTAGCACAGATAGGAAATTATATTTAGAGCCTATACATTTTCTAATCAATTTGTGATCATAAGTTACCCAAGTTGTGTTTTGAAGAGCAGTTGTACCTTATGCTTCAGCTTCCCAACTTTCAAAAGTTATCTCACAATATGGATTCTCCATTCAATTCCCAGGCCAATCCAATCTAAAGGCCAAGGAAGCTTTCAAACAAAGAGTCATTGATGCCCAAGATGATATTGCATCATTTAAATATGTTCAATGACTCAGCATAAGTTAACCTCCCCGTTAGAAAAATATTTAACAACTTATATCATATGTCTCAATATCTCAGAAGAGCTTTTCTAGAGCTCATTTTGAAGAATTGGAGTTCCATGGTAAGACATGGTAGATTTCGTGGAGTTCCATTTGAAGAATGACTGTATTTGTGGAGCACCAGCCACTGAAGTCATTGGGCATATTCTTTTTGGCTGCAAACTTTATTTGGCAGAAAGGGCTAGTTATTTAGATTCTTATTTAAAAACTAAAAAATATTGGGGAACTTACTTTTTGCAGGGAATGAACCTGCATTTCATTAGTAAGACCGCACTTTTTATATCAAAGGCTATTTCGAAGAGGACGGAATATTTACTTCAGATGGAGTTAATTGCAAGGGTGAGGACTTCCTATGAACATGTCCTATTGTTTTCTTTGTATATATTGGTATTTCTATATTTCTATTAATTTTATATTTTTAATGTGCTCAAATGACTAAATCGATAAAGTTTCTAGTGTATTCTGTGAATGAAATGGCATATTGATTTTAGCTGTTGTTCATTGGCCTATTCTTGGGTCATCTTTGATAATACTTTACATCTATTTCTTTTGAAATTCAGATGCAATTTTGTAAATGTATGGAACAGCTCTGGGCTTTTTTTAAATGTATGGAACAAGCAGTGTGATATAAGGAGTACAAAAGGAGGACAGTTAGGTAAAATACAGTTGAGGAATTATATTTTTGAAAATTGTACTTCTTTTGAAGGCATGTCTGGCTAATTATATTTTTATCTTTAAGAAGAGAAAAAGGTATGTTGGAGAGATAAAATGCACATCAATAGCTAAGGTATGACATCATGTGGAGAAGCCATCAGAAACTGTTGGTAGTTTACCTTAGAAAAAAGCTTTGGAAAGATGTTAAGTTCTCAGAGACTTGGTAGTCATTATTACACCAAATACCTCTTTCATTTGAGATATGTTTGCATTCCTAGCAACTAATAAGATAAAGACCTGGGAAATAATATGATGTTTAAGATGTCCACAATTGAATTTAGATTTGGAAGAAAAGGAGGAAGGATGGGAGGAAACTTCAAAAATTGCTTTTAGGCCAGCAAGGGCAACTGGAAATACATTGGAAAACAACAGTGCCTATAGAACATGATGGGGGAGTAAAAGGAATTTAAAATGGAGAAATGTTAAATAGGAAGAAAAGTACAGGTAACAATCCCCTGCCACTTTTGCTACAGCTCATTTAATAAATAATTCTATCTATCTATCTATCTATCTGTCTGTCTGTCTGTCTGTCTGTCTGTCTATCTATCTATCTATCTATCTATCTATTGTGTTTCCCCCAAAATAAGACCCAACTGGAAAATAAGCCCTAGCATGATTTTTCAGGACTCTTGTAATATAAGCCCCACCCCAAAAATAAGCCCCAGTTAAAATCATCAGCCAGATAGATGCATTTAGTACAGTTTTTCCCCAGAATAAGACCTAACCAGAAAATAAGCCTTAATGCGTCTTTTGGAGGAAAAATTAAATATAAGACCTGGTCTTATTTTTGGAAAACATGGGTATCTATCTACATACATACACACACACACACACACACAGAGAGAGAGAGAGAGAGAGAGAGAGAGAGAGAGAGAGAGAGAGAGAGAGAGATTTAATTGTCAGTTTTGAATGACTCATGTTAAATAAATAAATAAATTTGGCATTGGTATACAAGCCATTATCAATTTATCAGTATCAAGATATTGAATCATTGGGGCTTCAAAAAAAAATTGCAACTAACTAACCTTAGTGTTCATTTCTGTTTGGAATAATTTATCTGCAAACAATTCAGGAAAACAGATTGTTTTCATTTAAATAAATATTTATTAAACTAATGGCCTTCAGACTAAACAATCAATTTCTTAAATCTCTACATGTGGCATAGGTCTATGAGCTGTACTTTCCCATATTGATCTTGAATCACCTGAATTGTATCTTGTGACCACTTTACAAAATCAACCCAGTTGCCTTCAATCCCATCTTTAGCAACAGTGAAGGTTACAGCCACCTGCTTTGTTCCTCTTGAGGATCCACCAAGTGTAACTGGTGGTAATTAAATATCACTATGCTTTGTTGTAATGTCAATTACAGAATCAATGCCACCACATTCTTTTATATGATTGCTCAGAAGCCTCCAAATCAACAAAAATCTCATTAGAATCCACCAAAATCCAGTGAGATGTTATTGAGCTCTCATAATTTTTCAGATGTCTCAATTGAGTTCTTGCACAATTTTGACATTCTTGCAGAAGACCATTAAAATTTCATAAGATTTCAAGAGTCTTAAGAACTCATAAAGAACTTTAAGAACTGTTATATTTTTCAAGGCTTGAAATGCCTCATGTAACTATAGTTGATCTCTGTTTTTTTTTTAATTGTAACAGTTCTTTTAAACACATGACATAAAAGACATCAACTTTTTATGTCATCAGCATAGCAAAGTTATTTCATCAATTCCACTGAGAAACCAATTGCCTTTAGTGGTCTCAATAAGATTCCTGAACTATTCGCCCCAGAATAAGAAGTATAAGAAGGCTCTGGAGCTTGTTTTTTTTTTGTCTCTTTTGAGATCTAAGAATGGCCAGCATATGAATTCACAAATGTGTTTGGCCAGTACTCCTGGAAATAAAAGGTGGACTATTGTAGATGATCTTTTTTTTTTATTATTAGAAAGTTTTATAAATTTTACAGAAAATAAAAGACAATACAGAAACAAAAAACAACATATACAAATAAAAAACAAACATTACCCAACAAAACCCCCCTTCCCCCACCCCTACCCAACCCCCCCCTTCCCCCCCCCCAGGGCCTCCCAGAGCAGAATATAGGCTTAATTAGAAAAAAAAGTTAAAAAATTTTATATTTATAAAAAAAGAGAATATAAAATAGAAAATATATATATATATAAAGTTAAAAATTATGAAAAAACTATATAGTATTGTAGATGATCTTGATAAAATCCAGTTTATTTCTATCTGAATTTTAAAAGTATGTTCACAGATCTTACTCTGATCAGCTTTGTACAGTGAAATACAGATTGATGGCTGTTTGGGATTGGATTTTTTTGCATTATACATCTCCAAGTTTAAGACAATATTGCTCCTAGAATCTACTGCATTGGCATTTAGTCCTAGCAAATACTTTATTTTTCCAATCCTCTTAATGGTATTCATATTTGTTCTGAAATTATGAATTTTAATTCATTTTAAAGAAATTTCTTAAAAGTTTATTTTCTTCTATGTTGTTATCTAATTAATATTGTATTAAGCATAATCTTCTTCTATAATACTTCCAATTCATGGTAAGTTTTAATATTAAGATTAAGTAATGCCATTTTGTTACTGAGCTTTATCCAAACTGGTAGCACATTACACAAGCAGGATCTTAACCTATGATTTCCCCATTCCCAAATCAAAAAGATGATAATTGTGCTTTCCATAATAATGAAACCAAGATGCCAGGCTATATAGTTTTAAGAGCTAATTCTCTTGGAAGTGGCATAAGATTGCATGTCTATAATGTATAAACTGTTGCAGAAAATGTCTGATTACTTATCTGGAAGACAAATGTTTTTCAAGCATCAACTAATAGCTATTCCTCCTCCCCAATTTTTATTTATAATATTGTAAATAATCAACAGAATATACTGAAGAAGAATTTGTTCTTACCGCAAGGAAATCAGTAAGTTCGCTGGTGAGAAGTTGTTTGAGTTCTCCTTTATTGAGTTTGTATTTGTCCCCTTCTTTTGCAGAGTAATGATGAAAGACTCTGATTAAGGTATCCATTGCACCCTCCAGTTGTGACGGCATACTGCAAAAGGATTAGATGCTAATGGCCAGCTTTCACAAATGCTCCAAAAAGGCAATTATTCCCTTTTATGCAAACAAATAAACACCCTGCTCATCAGAAATTCATTAGCATAGCATCCAACCTCTCTGTTGCTTTGATCAAGAGCACACAGTTGTTCTTTACCATGCTAAGTTAGGAGAACAGTTTCTAAAGATGAATCCTGGAAGATACGTTCATGCATTGGGCTCCTCAAATAGGGCAAAGCAGGCTACAGAATCAAAAGTCCCTAAAACAAATAGGACTCCCATCTCCTCTCAAAACTGGGAGTAAATTGTCATTTTCAATGGAAGAAAACAGGGATACAAATGTCTACAGGTTGTCAAATGACCACATTACTAAATCAATGCATCACTTGTTTTTGTTCTGATTAAACCATTTTTGGAGCATCAGCCCCAAAAATGAAACCCAGGGATAAAGAAAGGAAAAGTTTAAATACAACATTCAGGAGTTTTCCTTCCTACCTGTTTCAGATAAAGCAGTTCCAAACAAGTACTATCTCCAGCAGGTACTGTATAGATTCTCTTTGGTTTTATCCTGAAAGTCCCACCCAACCTCTTCTATTTCCCAGAGCTTCTAGAAGGAAATCACCAATGACAAAAAGCCCCAACTCTCAACTTTCGCTTTATTTGTGACTGCTTGTTAACTGTCAACAGGTGTTGGTATCTTTCCCCTGGAGTCCTTCCATAGGCTGATTGGCTTCCCTGAGCACTACGTTAGGAGCTGAGAGCAGAAAGCCTAGCAGTTCATTAAGCTACAGAAGTCGGAAATCCAATTAAGTTGCTAGGAAGCCAGCCCCTTGGGGAAACACAGGAACTGCAATACTGAACAAGAGGATACAATGAATTCTCTTATTATTTATGGAATTTATTTCCCACCCTTTCCCAAGAGCCTGAGGACAGCATGCGTAATCAATCCCTGTAAATTTCTTTCCACATAGTTGCATCTACTTTGGGACAACAATGGTTCCATATGGGCTTTGCAAAAGGTGTTAGGAGAGGTGAGAGACAGGCAAGGGGGAAATAAGCATGGCCACTAAGTTAAATAAAACATACTCTTCAAACTCTTCTCCCTAAATATGTTTAATACAAACTAAATTTACATCTTGGATGATACATTTGGTTTATAAGAGTCCTGCAGTATATGAGACTCTAGAAAGAGTACAGAGAAGAGCAACAAAGATGATTATTAGGAGACTGGAGGCTAAAACATATAAAGAATGGCTGCTGGAATTGGGTTTGTCTAGTTTAATAAAGAGAAGGATGAGGGGGACATGATAGCAGTGTTCCAATATCTCAGCGGCTGCCACAAAGAACAGGGAGTCAAGCTATTTTCCAAAGCACCTGAGGGCAGGACAAGAAGCAATGGATGGAAACTAATCAAGGAGAGAAGCAACCTAGAACTAAGGAGAAACTTCCTGGCAGTTAGAACAATTAACCAGTGGAATAACCTGCCTCCAGAAGCGGTGAATGATCCAACGCTAGAAGTTTTTAAGAAGAGACAGGACAGCCATTTGTCCAAAATGGTATAGGGTTACCTGCCTGAGCAGGGGATTGGACTTGATGACCTCCAAGGTCCCTTCCAACTTTTTATTATTATTATTATTATTATGGATCATCGCACAGTCAGTCAGATGTTCAGACTGGATTTGGCATTTTGTCTACCTATCGAGTCCTTACCCAGGACCTGGGATAGGCAGATGTGGATGTTTGATGGTATTACAGATATCGTCGCAGGATGGAAGCAGTTCCTAATAAGGCCGCCTTTTGCAATTGACTAATAGCGAATTTGTCAATGCCAATGGTGTTCAAGTGGTGCTCCAGTTGTTTTGGGATTGCACCCAAGGAGCCTATGACTATTGGTACTACCCTTGCTTGCTTTTGCCACAGTCTTTCTATTTCTATTTGTAGGTCTTTGTATTTTGTTATCTTCTCCAGTTCTTTCTCGTCTATTCTGCTGTCTCCAGGCACTGCCACGTCCACTATCCAGACTTTTTTGTCTTTCTTATCGACAATTGTTAAGTCTGGGGTGTTATGTTGCAGGTGCTTGTCTGTTTGAATTCTGAAGTCCCAGAGCAGTTTAATTTTATCATTTTCTATGACTTTCTCTATTTTATGATCCCACCAGCTTTTGCTTACAGGCAAATGATATTTTTTGCAGATCTTCCAATGCACCATTGTTGCTACTTTGTCATGCCGCTGCTTGTAATCAGTCTGTGCAATCTTCTTGCAACAGCTTACCAAGTGGTCCACTGTTTCTTCAGCTTCTTTGCATAGGCGGCACTTACTGTCTGTTGCTGTCTTCTCAATTTTGACTTTGTATACATTTGTCCTTAAGGCTTGGTCTTGTGCAGCCAGAATTAGTCCCTCGGTCTCTTTCTTCAATTTTCCTGCTCTTAGCCATTGCCAGGTTTTATTATTATCTGCTTTCCCAGCTATTTTTTTAATGTATTGGCCATGTAGTGCTTTGTCTTCCCATGCCTCTATTCTGTTCTTCATTTGGTCTTTCTTGTAGGCCAGTTTGGTCTCTCCAGTAGTTAGTAAGCCTTCCTGATATACTAATTTCAGTGCATCTTCATCATTGTTCTTCAGATATTCTTCCAAAGCCATTTTTTCTTCTTCAACCATCTGATGTACTTGTAGCATTCCACGCCCACCTATTTGCCTTGGTAGATAAAGTCTATCAATGTCACTGCGTGGATGAAGGGCATGATTCATTGTCATTATTTTTCTGGTCTGCCTATCCATTGCTTTTAGTTCTGCTTGAGTCCAGTCCACTATTCAGCTGTGTACCTAATGACTGGGATTGCCCAGGTGTTGATTGCCTTTATGGTATTTCCTCCATTGAGTTTGGACTTTAAGATCTTCTTCACTCTCTTGATGTATTCACCTCTAATCTTTTTCTTGACTTCAGTGTGCTTGATGTTGTCAGCTTGAAGGATACCCAAGTATTTGTAGTACTCTTCCTCATCCAGACTCTTAATGTTATTTTCGTGGGGCATCTTGATTCCTTCAGTTTTCACTATTTTTCCTTGTTTGATAGTAAGTGTGGCACATTTGTCCAAGCCAAACTCCATTACAATATCTTGGCTATATATACGGACAGTGTTGAGCAGCGATTCTATTTCAGATGATGTTTTTCCATACAGCTTCAGATCATCCATGTAAAGGAGGTGGGATAGTCTGGCAGATGTTTTTGATGTTTGATAGCCATGTCCTGAGTTATTCAGTATTGTTGACAGAGGAAACAGTGCAATAACAAATAGTAATGGTGATAATGAATCTCCTTGAAATATTCCTCTCTTGATATTAACCTCTCCCAGCTTCTCACCATTGATTTGCAACTGTGTCTTCCATTGTGCCATCGATCTTTGCACAAATTTTCTGATGTTTCTACTGACTCCTGTTATTTCTAGGCACTTTATTATCCAATCATGTGGCAGAGAGTCAAATGCCTTTTTGTAGTCAATCCATGCCACATTCAGGTTGGTCTTCCTTCTCTTGCAGTTTTCCAAGATCATTTTGTCTATTAGGAGTTGATCTTTTGTTCCTCTGCTATTGGGGCGGTTTCCTTTCTGCTCAGGTGGAAAGAGATTGTTTTCAACTAGATGCTGTTGTACTGCATCAGCTACCACACCAGTTAGTAATTTGAAAGTTGTTGGTAAGCAGGTAATTGGCCTGTAGTTGCCTGGTGTTGCCCCTTTTGCTGGATTTTTCATTATTAGGTAGGTTTTCCCAGTTGTTAGCCACTTTTCAATTTCTCCTCCTTGTAGTATATTGTTGAACTGCTTGGCAATGAGTGGGTGTATAACAGTTAGATGTTTCAACCAAAACCCATGCAGTTCATCTTCACCTGGTGCTGACCAATTTTTGATTTTCTTTGCTCTTTTTTCTACCATTTTTGTTGTTATTACTAGTTCTTTCATTTCAACTTCTGTTTTATTTGCATCCACCTCTTTTAACCAAGCCGCATCCTTGTTGTATTTCTTTGGGTTATCCCATATCTGCTTCCAGAACTGCACTGTTTCTTCCTTGTCAGGTACTGACTGATTCCTTGCAGATTATTATTATTATTATTATCGATCATCGCATAGTCAGCCAGATGTTCAGACTGGATTTGGCATTTTGTCTACCTATCGAGTCCTTACCCAGGACCTGGGATAGGCAGATGTGGATGTCTGATGGTATTACAGATATCGTCGCAGGATGGAAGTAGTTCCTAGTAAGGCTGCCTTTTGCAATTGACTAATAGCAAATTTGTCAATGCCAATGGTGTTCAAGTGGTGCTCCAGTTGTTTTGGGATTGCACCCAAGGAGCCTATTACTATTGGTACTATCCTTGCTTGCTTTTGCCACAGTCTTTCTATTTCTATTTGTAGGTCTTTGTATTTTGTTATCTTCTCCAGTTCTTTCTCTTCTATTCTGCTATCTCCAGGCACTGCCACGTCCACTATCCAGACTTTTTTGTCTTTCTTATCGACAATTGTTAAGTCTGGGGTGTTATGTTGCAGGTGCTTGTCTGTTTGAATTCTGAAGTCCCAGAACAGTTTAATTTTATCATTTTCTATGACTTTCTCTATTTTATGATCCCACCAGTTCTTGCTTACAGGCAAATGATATTTTTTGCAGATCTTCTAATGCACCATTGTTGCTACTGTGGACCTAATGACTGGAATTGCCCAGGTGTTGATTGCCTTTATGGTATTTCCTTCACTGAGTTTGGACTTTAAGATCTTCTTCACTCTCTCTAATCTTTTTCTTGACTTCAGTGTGCTTGATGTTGTCAGCTTGAAGGATACCCATATATTTGTAGTAATCTTCCTCATCCAGACTCTTAATGTTATTTTCGTGGGGCATCTTGATTCCTTCAGTTTTCACTATTTTTCCTTGTTTGATAGTAAGTGTGGCACATTTGTCCAAGCCAAACTCCATTACAATATCTTGGCTATATATACGGACAGTGTTGAGCAGTGATTCTATTTCAGATGATGTTTTTCCATACAGCTTCAGATCATCCATGTAAAGGAGGTGGGATAGTCTGGCAGATGTTTTTGATGTTTGATAGCCATGTGCTGAATTATTCAGTATTGTTGACAGAGGAAACAGTGCAATAACAAATAGTAATGGTGACAATGAATCTCCTTGAAATATTCCTCTCTTGAAATTCACCTCTCCCAGTCTCTCACCATTGATCTGCAACTGTGTCTTCCATTGTGCCATCGATCTTTCCACAAATTTTCTGATGTTTCTACTGACTCCTGTTATTTCTAGGCACTTAATTATCCAGTCATGTGGCAGAAAGTCAAATGCCTTTTTGTAGTCAATCCATGCCACATTCAGGTTGGTCTTCCTTTTCTTGCAGTTTTCCAAGATCATTTTGTCTATTAGGAGTTGATCTTTTGTTCCTCTGCTATTGGGGCGGTTTCCTTTCTGCTCAGGTGGAAAGAGATTGTTTTCAACTAGATGCTGTTGTACTGATTATTATCAATCATCGCACAGTCAGCCAGATGTTCAGACTGGATTTGGCATTTTGTCTACCTATCGAGTCCTTTCCCAGGACCTGGGATAGGCAGATGTGGATGTTTGATGGTATTACAGGTATCGTCGCAGGATGGA